AACCATGTTAAAAAGGATGACATGAAATGAATATAAATAGAAACTCTACTGTTTTTGCCAGTCACCCCAGTGGATGGCATCATTCACCACCCCTTGGTCCTCTGTGCCATCCTGAAGTCTGAAGTCTGTATACATAAGGAGGAGGAGCCACGTGAACCCTGTTGACCAACGTTCATGTCCCTGTGGCAGTCCACACATCTCAAATGGCAGTGGACTGAAAGAGTTATTTACTAAAAAATCCAGATGACTGGGCGCAGTGGCTCACACCTGGAATCCCAGCACTTTGGGAGGCTGAGGCAGGTGGATGATGAGGTCAGCCTGACAAACATGGTGAAACTCCGTCTCTACTAAAAATACAAAAATTCGCTGGGTGTGGTGGCAGGCACCTGTAATCCCAGATACTTGGGAGGCTGAGACAGGAGAATCACTTGAACCCGAAAGATGGAGGATGCAGTGAACTGAGATTGCACCACTGCACTCCAGCCTGGGCAACAACATAGCTAGACTCTGTCTCAAAAAAAAAAAAAAAAAAAAAAAAAAGAGAAAGAAATGAAAATGCAGCTGACTTGCTGACTGAGACTTAGTATGAGTCTGCCCAATAGCCTCAACAAGTCAACATTTTTGGAAACACAGTAATTTTGGCATTTTTATGTAGAAACTCCGCCTTAATGCTGGGAGGTTCTGCGGAAGTTGACATCATTTTACTTGGTGTTTGTGTCTCCCGCTGATTATTCTTGGAATGTTGCACACTGTGTCTTTTTTTCCCCTCTTATGTTACTGGAACTGTCAGGCTAAAATTATGTTTTCTATCTTGCCTACTCTATGAGGACCACAGACTTGGCCACATGCTTTTCAAAGAGCTTAAGATTTCCAGTACATTAATAACCAGAGAATGCTGCAGCCCTGTAGCTTCCGAAATACCAACTCTACAGCACACTTCTACATTCTTTTAGTTACTTTTTGTGATCATAAAGCACACATTTTGCACACAGTAATCAGATGACCTAGTCTCATGCCACTAGGGCAAATGACTATTTAGGAAGTGACGGAATCAAAACTAGAACCCAAACTCCTGACTCCAGGGTAGCTCGCTCTCTACCACAATCACTTTCTGGTTCTCAGATTTCCCCTTCATTCTTCCCTGGCTTCAGGATGAATGGGTGGCCGGAAGCACAGAGTTGAGCTCTCAGTTCTAACGGGAATAGTTCCCAAAATTCTTTGGGTATGCATCAATGGTTATGCTCCCTTAAGGATGACCCTGAGGTATAGATATGGTCTATCTGCCTGATGTGCTGAGCTCTGTACAACTCTGCCAATTTGCTATGCATTCCTGACTGCCTCTCCTTTAGGTACAGTCCCTGCAATCTGGCTAGAACTTCCAAGGGTCTTACCACAACGAAAGAAACTCCCTAGTTGAAAGAGTAAAGGACAAAGTGGGTTCAGAGGAAGGATGCAGACCATCTCAATGCCTTGAATATGCTGCCTTCTCTACTTGGTCTTTCTATCCCTAGTTGATGTGTCTTCTTCTGCTAAGGTTTGGTACTGTGTCGCCACCCAAATCTCACCTTAAATTGTAATCTCCACAATCCCCATGTGTCAAGGGTGGGACCAGGTGGAGGTAACTGAATCAGGGGGCAGTTTCCCTCATGCTGTTCTCGAGATAATAAGTGGGTCTCACAAGATCTGATGGTTCTATAAGCATCTGGTATTCCTCTGCTTGCACTCATTCTCTCTCCTGCCACCCTGTGAAGAAGTGCCTCCTGCATGATTGCAAGTTTCCTGAGACCTCACCAGATATGAGAAACTATGAGTCAATTAAACTTCTTTTCTTTATAAATTACCCAGTCTCAGATATTTCTTCCTTGCAGTGAGCTGAATAATGCATCTGCCATCAGCTGTGATGAAAGAGGGCTGGGAACAATGTATACTGTGGTAAACTTTCAGTGGATTCTACAAATTCCGGGCAGTATTTAAGCATCCTTCTAAGGGGAAGATTTGGGAAAGGGCTGGTTTACCTGGATAAGATTTCAGATGCAAAATTTCTTTCAGGGCATGGATGGTTTATGTCTCTTCCCACCTCTGGGTTTTGTGGCTGCTTTTGCCAGCCAGTCATGGTGGTGGCCTGTAGATATGTATTCAGGCAGGAGAGGCTGGGATTCTATTTCTAGGAGTATGCTTTGGGACAATGGTGCCCTTTTTTACTGTGTTAGTCTAAACCAGGTGCAAGGACCTCACAGCAAACAAGCAGACAGCCAGCCTCACAGGGCTACTTCTTACGCTTCCCATCTTGCTCTCATACTTGCCACAGAAGAGGTCACCCAGGCAGCCAGATGCTCTGGCATCTCACTCCCATCTGTAGAGAAGTCATCATTTGCCCCTCACATGCCTGGGGCTCTGCTTGCACTGTAGCAGAGCTGGAGGAATGGGAAGCAAAGGGAAGGAGCTATAACAAAAGATCTGCTCCTTCTCTTTTCCTAATCCCCTGAAGGATAATATGTGAACTTGAACAAGCTGGGTCAGGAGTAGTCCAGAACCACACCCACCCACCCCAACCACCCTCAGAACTGAGATCTGGTTCTATGTAATCTGAGAGAGATGGGGGAGGCTAGAATCACTGTCTTCAAGTATGCCAAAGCCCCACGTTATGGGGCATGAGGGTGCAGAAAAAACAGAATAAGACCAGTGACTGGGAATGGCATGGACAGATTTCAGCCCAATATTGGAAGAACGTTTAACAATAAGGCTCTCCAACAACTGGACAGCCTCTCTCAAGAGCTGTAACTATCACTGGGGTATTTAAAAGAGAAGGCCATGTTACTTCAGTCAATGAGAGAAAGTAGGTATGTGTGCCTGGAAGGTGGTTAGATGTTTTCTAGGACTCTAAAGACTGCCTAACACTAGGTCCAGTCATCCATCAGTGTTGACCATTTTACAAAAGCCCTGTACCATTACAACATCCTCCCAGAGGAAACCAAGTTAATTTTGAAAAAGAAGCTGTCCTGGCCAGGTAGGGTGGCTCACGCCTGTAATCCCAGCACTTTGGGAGGCCAAGGCAGGTGGATCACCTGAGGTCAGGAGTTCGAGACCAGCCTTGCCAACATGCTGAAACCTCGTTTCTATTAAAAAACAAAAAAACAAAAAAAATTAGCCAGGCATGGTGGTGTGTGCCTGTAATCCCAGCTACTTGGCAGGAGAATCGTTTGAACCTGGGTGGTGGAGGTTGCAGTGAGCCAAGATTGCACCATTGCACTCCAGCGTGGGCCGCAAGAGCAAAATTCCATCTCAAAAAAAAAAAAAAAAAGAGCTGTTCTTAACGAAATAAATCAGGCGGGAGGGAAGAATACTGGCATACTGTTGGATGAGGCCTATGTCTACACAACCTCTATGCACCACCTTCCTCACTTGTACAATGCAAAGGTGATAGTAACAGCAGGTAACTGCTTGCTTGCTATGGGCCAGATCTATTAACTTGCTTAATTTTCACAACTCACCCTTTTATATACACAGAAACACAGGCAAGGAGAGTTAAGTGATTTACTTAAGGCAATACAGCTAGGAAGAGGGAGAGTCAGAATTAAGCCCTGGTAGACTTCCCCGCATTATGTCTAGACACTCACCAGACACCACCAGTGTCTGGTACAAAGGGCTCAAGAGAGAATTCTAGAGCTGTGCTGTGTGACATTATGCAAGATAATCAAAGCTCTCTATGCCTGGTGTTCTCATCTGTAAAATGAGTATACAAATGTGTTTCTTACAGAGAGGCTCAAAGAGAAATGATTTAATACATGTAAAATGTTCAGAGAGTGGTGGCAAATAATAAGTACTCAACAAAGGTTACCTAATGTCAAATAAACATGTCTGTGATTACAAATACGTAGATGGTTAATATCTTAATATAACATAAAGCTATGCCTATGTCTGTAATATCCATATGTAAAGGGCAATCACTCAAAAAGAGTCCCAGTGGAGTAATGAGGCATCACTACCAACCACTTAACCATATAGCAGAGAGTGTGTTTATCTTATTGCTTTGTGCTTAATCAAACTATACCTTATCTTTCCATAGGTCCTCAATTCTATCACATGATGGAGGTCTTTCTCTTCTCTTTTCTCTCTTTTTCCCCCCCTCTCTCTCTCTCATTCATTTTTTGAGATAGGGTCTCGCTCTGTCACCTGGGCTGGAGTGTGGTGGCACAATGATGGCTCACTGCAGCCTTGACCTACTGGGCTCAAGCCATCCTCCAGCCTCAACCTCCCATGTAGCTGGGACCACAGGCATGTGCCACCACATCTAGCTAATTTTTGATTTTCTGTAGAGACGAGGTCTTACTTTGTTGCTCAGGCTGGTCTTGAACTCCTGGGCTGAAACAATCTCCTGCCTCGACCACCCAAAGTGTTAGGACTACAGGTGTGAGCCACCATGCCTGGCCAGATGATGGAGGCTTTTCTGTAACTGATTGTTCTCCCTGGAAAGCTACCTCTCAGTTTCTCCCTGAACCTTGAGTCAGTAAGTTTTCCAAGATTTGGCTAAATGAAGGAGAGGGCACTATGGAAACAACCTTGGAGACAACATGGGATATTTTTCATTGTCTCTTCCTTTTTTTCTTTTTTGAGACAGAGTCTTGCTCTACCATCCAGGCTACAGTACAATGGCATGATCTCTGCTCATTGCAACCTATGCCTCCTGGTTCAAGCGATTCTCCCTGCCTCAGCCTTCTGAGTAGCTGGGATTACAGGCACCCACCACCTGAGTAGCTAGGATTACAGGTGCCCAGCACCACGCCCAGCTAATTTTTGTATTTTTAGTAGAGACAGGGTTTTGCCATGTTGGCCAGGCCGGTCTTGAACTCCTGACCTGAGGTGATCCATCTGCCTTGGCCTCCCAAAGTGCTGGGATTACTGGCATGAACCACCGCACCCAGCTGAGACTGAATTATTTTGCTAGAATCTGGAGAGCTAAAGGCCCACTGCCAGGGAGGCAGAGGGTGCTGCTGTCCTACCTGGTGAGCTTGGTGCCAATCTGTTGCCTCAGCTCCAGCCGCTCCTCATCCGTCTGCCTGGGAAGGATGTTCTTTTCTTCCAGCTCTCGCTTGGAGGGCCTGTTGCTGAGTTTGATGGCTAAGGAGTCCTTCCTGCAGACCTTCATGGCCAGGGAGCCTGCAAGAGAGAGAAATGAGTCCATTAAGGCTGACACAGATCTGCCTGCCTGACACACACACACACACACACACACACACACACGGCCAACCTGGACCATAGGATACACGGCAGGAAGGAAGTCATCAAAGCTATAACACCCGAGAGTGGTTAAGGCCTCAGTTCCTAGATTTCCTGCCATTGCCACATACTCTGCCCCTAGTACTGTGTGGGGCACATGGAGAGCACACGGGGAGCCTGTGATTGGGTCCCTGCTCTCCAGGAACACCCAGCATGCAGACAACATCACAAAGGAGGGCAGGACTGGCCATGGGTTGCAGCAGATTGCAGAGGGGTAGACAGGACAGAGGTCTTTAGCAACTAGGGGAGGTTTCACGAGGAGGAGGGGCTGACACCTGAGGCAGAGATGAGAGTCCAACAGGCAGCAGGTGGGTGGGGATCTGTGTCTGCAGACGTGCAGTGGTGAAGGCTACACCAAAAATCTCAAGAGACAGAAAAGATCAACAACACTGGAGCTGGGGGGACGTGGAGGAGAAAAAAAGGTAGGCGGACAAAATGGGGCTGGTTGGGGGTGGGAGTGGAGGTGAGGGCTTTGAAACAGGCAATATCCTGGGTTTTTTTTTTATTTAACCCCAGTGTTTCTGAGCAGCAGAGGCAGGGCTTCCCTGCATCTAGTATAAATCGGTGCTTCTCAACCAGTGGTGATTTTGCTCCCCAGGGGACACCTGGCAAAAACTCAAGGCATTTCTGGTTGTCAAAACTAAGGTGGCAGGCAGAGGGTGTTACTGGCATCTAGCGGACAGAGGCCAGGGGTGCCTGTAGACATCACAGTGCCCAGGACAGCTCCACAACAAAGAGTTATCTGGTCCCGAATGCTGGGAGTGGCGAGGTTGAGAAACCCCGGTATGAAACATTCAATTCTCTGGATGCTAAACAGCAAACAGGGGCTGAGCAGGTGCTCCTTCCACTCATGGGTCATTGAGGTCTTTGCTACCCTGTGTGGTTCTTTCCTTGACATCACTTGAATCCCTTCAGTCGCTCACCAGGTCTCACATGGAAGCAGCTATGTGAAGCCTGGTAAGTAGGGAGGAAGAGAAAACACCAGCGGGCAAGAAGTCTGGGGGTGCCTTTGGGTTTTATTGAGTAGTGCTTTTCTTCTTTTTTCCTCTGCTGGTTTTAGAACATGAGCTTTGGAATGTTACAGAGCCAGCATCAAACTGCAGCGTTGCCCCTTAGCAGAGAGGAGGCCCTGGGCTGGCGCCTTGCTTCTCCACTGTCTGCCCTTATCTGTAAAATGAGGCAATAGTGTCCATGCCTCAGCGTCGCTGTGGGACGTAGGTGAGAGATTAAGATCCTAGCCCGTTGTTGAGCACGCGGTACATGTTCGATGCATGGTTGCTATTCTCACAAGCGCATTTATTAAAAAGTTGGCCAAATATCAGGCTGTACTCATGTAACTAAAATTTATTTACTGTTCATGGCCAGAGTGATAGGTTTTGAACTTTGCTTTCTTCATTTCTTCTCTTGTCTCTTAGCGCCTTTAAAGGTCATAAATAAGAAATTTAAATTGAGGTCTTCTAAAGTTGCTGATGCTTAAAAAGTGAATTTGTTGCATACACAGTGGGTAGTATTTGAGTGTTTGCCTGATGGGAACAAATGTTTAAGCTTTTAAAACTTATTTTTTTTTTCTTATTGGGGAAGTTGCATCCCAAGGGAAGCAATAAAGAGCCATCTAAAGAGATAAGAGGTGGCATTTTACAAAGCCCTGCACCTGTAAATTTTAGAGCTAGGAGGGCATTTAGAGGATATTTACCATTTCCTCTTACTGATGTAGGAACTGAGGCCCCAAGAGATAGACTGAGCTGCCCTATGACCCAAGACCAGTCAACACCAGAGTGGGGATTAGAACTCAAACTGCTGGGGTCCTGGGTCTGCTCTCTGCTGTCTTTCCACAAGAGCATGCTTCCCCACCCCGGTGAAGAGTTAAGATGAACGCACTGGTGTATAATGAGCTGTCATCGTCTTCGTCCTCCTCCTCTTCCTCTTCCCTTGTGTACAGGCAAGAAGAGTCTTCGTAGTCTGACTCGTGAGGCACATTTTCTTTATTGTCATCACATTCAATCACAACAGTTGGCACTTGTCTTATTTCTGGAAGGCCCATAGGTCCTGCTTTGGTGACCCCATCACCCGAGTGCAACCCAGAGCTGTGGTAAGAAGTGGAACAGGGGACCCGCTGCTCAGAGCTGTTTAAAGACAAGGAGGAAAGAGAAAATTCATTTTGGCTAACATGCTGTATAAATGCATCAAAACCATTTTAAAACCCAGTTGCCCTCGGTTTTAAACCATTTTAAAACACAGTTGGCATGTGCAGGACATGCACACAGACTTCATGAATATCCTATAAATAGGATAAACTATACCATCCAGGTCCAAGATTTAAAACAGGTGGCCCAGGACAGAGGTGGAGTCATTGGGCTGAATTCAGTCCACAAATATATATTTTTGCCTATCTCATTTTTCCTTAAAGAAGGATCTCATTCTGTTGCTCAGATTGGAGCGCAGTGGAAAAACTATAGCTCACTGCAGCCTCGACCTCCTGGGCTCAAGGGGTCCTCCTACCTTAGCCTCTCAAATAGCTGGGACTACAGGTGCATGGCACTGTGCCCAGTTAATTTTAATAGTTAATAAACTTGCCCAGTAGACCCTGTGAGACAAAGGGTCTATTGGGCAAGTAAAGTCCCATTGCTCATCTTACAGGGAATCATTTCAAGATGGCATGGTTTCCTGATGGGAATAGTGGCGTGGGATAGAAAATAATTCCAACTCCTTGTGGGTGGTGGTGACAGTTGCACAACAATGCGAACGCATTTAATGCCATCGAACTGAATGCTTTAGAATGGTTAAGATGGTAAATTTTATGTTATCTGTATTTACCATAATTTTAAAAAATTAAAAATAAGGGCAAAGGATTAATTTGATAGTGAAATTATTCAGGAGAGAAAGATAATAATTGATGTTCTAGTTTTCTAAAGCTACAGAGGTTGACTGAGTGTGTGATAGACTATTTTTAATTTATTATACTTTAAGTTCTGGGGTACACGTGCAGATTGTGCAGATTACATAGGTACACACGTGCCATGGTGGTGGTTTGCTTCATCCATCACCCCCTTATCTACATTAGGTATTTCTCCTAATGCTAACCCTCCCCATTCCCCCGACCCCCTGCTATTCTTCCCTTGCCTCCCACACCCCAGGCCCTGGTATATGATGTTTCCCTCCCTGTGTCTGTGTGTTCCCATTGTTCAACACCCACTTATGAGTGAGAACATGTGGTATTTGGTTTTCTGTTCTTGTGTCAGTTTGCTGAGAATGATGGTTTCCAGTTTCATCCATGTCCCTGCAAAGGGTATGAATGCATCCTTTTTTATGGCTGCATAGTATTCCACGGTGTATATGTGCCACATTTTTTTTTATCCAGTTGTGATACACTATTTAAAATGCTGTGGCTGGGGATGCTGAGAAAGGGAACATGGGGATGGACCAAAGGCTGGAGACCCATGCATGACATTGTCAGTGGTGACCTAGAGAAAGTCCTCTCCCACAGGGAGCCACAGGTAATACCAGTCTGGATATTTTACAGGCCAATTTTCTAAGAAGCAACGAGGATGATGTTTTTGGTTCTATCTGAAGTTGAACCAACTTGGATCAAATATATTTTTTAATTAAAACAGTTATATGGCCGGTCGCGGTGGCTCACACCTGTAATCCAAGCACTTTAGGAGGCTGAGGCAGGTGGACCATGAGATCAAGAGATCGAGACCATTCTGGCCAACATGGTAAAATGCCAACTCTACTAAAAATACAAAAATTAGCTGGGTGTGGTAACACACACCTGTAATCTCAGCTACTCAAGAAGCTGAGGCAGGGGAATCACTTGAACTTGGGAGGCGGAGGTTGCAGTGAGCTGAGATCGTGCCACAGCACTCCAGCCTGGTCAAAGAGTGAGACTCCATAAAAAACAAATAAACAAACAAAAAAAACAAAACAACAACAACAACAACCTATAGATGTTTGTTGTTGGAAAGTTAGAAAATGCCTGTCATCAAAAACAAAACAGTTATTTTCTTAATCCTCTGGCTGAGGATTATGTAGTAACTTAGAGCCCTTTTTAAGACAGGTTTTGCATGAAATCTAGAATCATAAATATGTAACCAGAAACCACAGTTAAATTTTGTAATTCTTTTTCAGATTAATTGGAAGTGAAATTTATAAATTTCCTTCATTCAAGGAATCTCCAAACACAGGAAACTCAACACATTTTACCATCCAAAAGTGTTTGCCATGCATAAGGAAATGGAGCATGAGCTTGTATTACATATCAGCAAGTTCCACATTTGAATATTTTATCTAAAAGAAGCCTAACTTATGACATATGAATGTATGTCCCTTCTTTGAAACTTGCAATTATGCTTTAAATTATTGCTATGCTTAATGTAAATTCAATTAACTTCCTTTCTTCCATTGTTTCCAAAGTGCTGTTTTTCTCTTTGTATTTTTCATATAACTCTTCAGTGACACAAATGGGAAAACCTAGTTAACACATTATGAGCTATGATGTTCAGGGCAATGAGCTAAGTCAACTTAAAAAAAGCCAACCACTGAATAGGATTAAATCACATATTTACAAAAATGCAGCATCTTATTAGACATTAGTGGTTTAAGTCGGTCCATTTCCCACCTAATTTAATACAGATGACAATGGGAGGAGGGTGAAGTACATGATAGATGGTCTCCAGGGTGGCGAAGGGTGACGGAAGCGGGGCTGGGGACTGGCTGCACACCCTGCAAAGCAGCTCTTTCATCAGTGACAGCTACGCCATTCCAACTGCGCTTGGATTTCCACATTGGGTATTACAGAAAGTAAGAATGGAAGGGGCAAAAAATGTCATTCCATGGCTCATGTTTTGCCCCAATCCTGCCTTTTCCTCTCTCCACTTTCTAGTTTAATTAGCCATGTTTCCTATAAAGGCACAGAGCTGGGGATTTGGCAGCCGGGAGCTGGGGATGAAAGCGGACAATAGATATTCTTGTTTGGTGGGAAAAATCTTTTAAAGGAAAAGAGTTGGAACTAGAGAGCATGAGTTCCTTAAGGTAGAAGACTCCAAGGTGATTCAAGACGACAGAGGAGAGAAAAGTGCACAGGGGGATAAGAAACGCCACCTCATAGGTAGTGTGTGATCAGCAAGAGGCTGTTTCCTCTCCCTCAAAGATACATGGGCAGCGTGAGACCTTCTTGCATAGGATGGGATTAAATGGAGGATAGCCAGCTACTTTGAAAGGTACCAGGTACTATGCTACCAGGTTTGTCAAATAGGGATTGGTTGTGATGCCAGTGACTGCCTGTTGGGGCACTAGAGAAACAGATAAAGATCTCTGGGGCCAATCCGCTCATCTTCCTGACGTGTGAACCCTAGCATGTGCTTGAATGCCTGATTTTCCTTAAGAGTGAAGGCAGTATTTTCCAGGAAGCTAGGGGAATCCACCAAAAGGATTTTAAAATATTCTATTAATAAATACCCACAGAATGCTAACTATATATCAGGGAGAGTCCTGAGAAGACAAATACCCCGAGAAACCCACCCCTTTTGTAACTATGGAGAACCTCAGGAGAGCAAGAAAGGAAAGGACAGTACAGGAGTTAGCTAAGGAGCAGGCACAGAAGGTTAATTTGGGCCCTCACTTTGGGGAGTCAAGACAGATCTGTGTCCATGTTTTGCTGCTTACTCTCTTCTTGACCTCAGCCAAATTGCTTAACCTCTGAGTCTTGGCTCCCTCAACTGCAGAACTGGGTAAATCATGCCTTTTTTTAGGGCAGGTGCATGTGAAGTGGCCTGTTGACACGGCCTCAAACGAGACCCTCACTGGTTATTGACAGACATAGCCTTCCAAGGGGTTTCACAGCAGGCTGTTTCCGTCCGGTCTCCACAGTTCTCGGAGCGACTTTCTAAAACTCAGATCTCAGAGCCTCACCCATGAGAATTCTGAATGCCCCTCGAGTCTACAAAACCACTGCTCTAGGAGTGATGCAAATGAAAATTCAGTTAACACATCATGAACTATACTATTTAAGGCAAAGAACTAAATCAACTCAAATGTAGGATCTTATGATACGTGGCCTCTGTCCTGCCGGTGACAGACACCCAGCAGAACATCAGTGTCTGTAGCACAAGTTTCATATAATACAGCAGTTATCACCTAGCAGATCTGCTCTAAATACAGGCTCTCATTCCAAAAGAAAGGTGAAAACCATTAGCCTTAAACAGTAGCTTAAACATAGTGTCATGTGCTTGCCACAGCCTGCATCATTTGGCTCAAATTATTAACCCAGTCTCATTCCCCCTTCCCTCCTTCCCTTTTCAAACAACTGACCCCTTGATCACTTGCAACTGTGCATTCAATGCTCTTGGCCTGGAATGTGTTCCTAAACCATCGTCACCTCATTCATTCCTATTCCTCTCTCAATACTTGTCTCAGTCCATGCCTTGCCTGCGTGTACAGGAGAGTCCTCAAGTGTGAAAACCATAATCATCTGTTTGCTTACGATCTTCCCTCCACCATCCAAGGCTGGAGGCTCCTTGTGGCAGAAGCCATGTCTTCTGCTTGTATCTGGTGCTTATTACCCTGCTAAGTGCCTGGTATCATGCCGGACACAAAGTAGATCCTCATTAATCGTCTATTGCTTTAGCCGAATGAAAAAAATACCGGTTGCAATGACTGATGTTTAGATGTTTTGTAAGCAGTTGACAAAACATGTTCAAAAGGTATTAACTAACAGATTGTTTTTTAATTTGCAGGGAGGCATCTAGTGGTGTGCTTCAGGGATATGGTGCCCTAGACTTGGCTGGCATCCTTATGAATGACTGGCAATGACAAAAAGGGCATCCTCATTGAATAAGTGGAAGAACTGAAGGACAGAAGGAAAGAAGGGAGAGTGAATAGAGAGAACGTTTACTAAACGTGTAATTTTCCCCGCAGTATTGCATTTCACCTTTCCAACAACTGTGAAGGACAGATGCTATTCTCCCCATTTTATGAAGCAGGAAATTGAAGCTCTGAGAGGGTAATGGATAGGCCCACAAGGACACAGCTGGTAAAGGAAGGACTTGAAATTTGAACCCACTCTATTACAAATTCTGTATGCAAAAGTTGAGCTATGATACTTATGATATTGTGTCCTTTGATA